AATGCCCCTGGTCACATATTGGATGTGTTTTGTTTAATTATACTTTAACTATATTTTTCATCTTTTTCAAGATTTGTATTTTATATTTTTTTTAATTTTTTAACACTTTTTGGCCGGGTTTCCGAGTTACCTGGCCCTTTGCTGGTTTTCGGATCCGGTTCGATTTGTCAAACACTACTCGTATGTTCCCTCCACAACAACAAGACTTAGATAGAATATTTTATTCTTTTTGGTTTCAGTTCATGGATATATCAGAGAATGTGGGCGAGAAGGAGACATGTAACTTTGGTAACGTAGCTAGAAAATCTCATCGTCTTTTTAGAGAGGAGGCTGGCATATTTTGTATTTTCACTGGGTAAAAAGCGCTTACAGTGTGGTCCTGCTGGAGCTAAATTGTAAGCAAAAGGAGAGCAGGACCAGGACTTACTAGAAGAGAGATATTTTTGGATATGTAATTTTGGGATCCATTTCAAGTTTAGATAAAAAGACAAAAAAAAGAAAGAAAAAAACAATGCTTTTGAGTTCTAAAAATACCTATTATTTCAGAAGTTGGAGATCCTTTCATGTATAACTTTTTAAGAAATGGGGTTAGGGGATCGGTGGATACGGGATCGATGATATGTTTATTTCGGTTCATGGATAGAAAGTTTTTGGCAAAATTTTACTTTGGCTACGTACCTAATACAACTCATCTCTTTTGTCCGGGCTCGGGACGGGTAAGAAGAAAATTTAAGCTCCTCACCCATCAACACATAGCCTAAACTTAAAAAAAAACAAATGCAAATCTTCCGCTCGATGCATTTAAAAACAAATGGGTGCGGTTTGTATAGAGCCAAGGCTCTAAACAATCAAAGTAGAATCCACCTTCAAATAGTGTCGAGAAATATGGTTTCAATACTGGAAATATTTGTGATAGCTTTAAAATATATTTTCATCTTTATTTATAAAATTTAAAGCTTAAAAAATAGTGTAGATCGAGCGGATCTATGAAAACTTGAAAATCTTGAAAATTGATGGTCCAAAAATGCATTACAAGATACACTAATTCCAAAATTTGAAATCTATTTTTTTCTTATGTCTATGCATCTTGATTCAAGATTCTCAATTTGAGGATATTTGGTAATCAAAACAACTCTTCTAGTGCAATTTTTGAGGTGGGCTATAATTTGATTGTTTAGAGCCTCGGCTCTATATAAAATTTTTCTAAAACAAGAATGCTATTTTTTGAAGGAGAGATCTATGTTCAAATTCAAATTTTTTGAAAATAATTATCTGGTTATTTTTAGGTAGTTTTTGAATTTTATATCCAAAAATTTCTTACCTAGGTTTTCTTCCCTAGGGCGTTGATGAACAGTAGTGCTCCTACGGGAGCTTAATATACATGCTCCCTAGCGAAATATTTCCTACACTTGCAGAAGTATACGATCCATTTATTACCTCAGGTAGAATGCATGCTAGGAATACCTTTTAGATCTAAAATTTTGGGGATGTAATTTGTAAAACCCATAAACTAATCCAAATAAAAAATTTCCTGAAATAAACTTTATGTACTAGAAAAAAGAATGCGTCAAGATAGAACAAACGCCGTTAAATTTTTAAAAATCTAGACCTTAGTGTCACAAAACTCAAAATTCAATTTTTTTTCATTGAAAATATCAGTGTCACAAAACTCAAAATTCAATTTTTTTTCATTGAAAATATTCAAAGTAGTTCTTATGTGGTTCCTAAAATTTGAGACTAAAATATTCTTTCTAACCAAGTATTTTGGGGGAGGGAGTGGATGCATGGTATGCTCCCACGGGAGCATAATATACGTACTCCTGGACTTTTAATAATCGCCAAAAAAAAAAAAAAAAAATGCGATTGCCATTGCCTACTCAACCATGCTCTCTGGGGTGCTTGGTTTTTTATCTTTTTCTCTTCATGTGGGGGAGGTTCTCATTGTACTTGTTGTTCACGCAAGTTCCAACTTGTTTGAAGGTGAATAAAACTCACCGTCAAATGTATTTTTTATGTCAAACTAACCACTATTGTGAATAAAACTCACCGTCAAATGTATTTTTTATGTCAAATTAACCACTATTGTAAGTGGGAAAAAGTTTATATAAGGTTGCAATTTTATCTCTACAGATACGGATGCACCTCAAAAAACCATTGGAAAAAGATAATTTTAATGTTGAAAAACCCTTTGATTGATCATCTCGAC